CCCATTGGAAAAAAATGTTTTTTTGAACGAGTGTTGCGCTTTTGTGTCATGAACTGATAAACATTACTTTTTTTTTGGGGGGGGGGGAAATGAATCTGTGCCACAGCATTTAGTGAAAAGAACTGGTTGATGGTAGAATTGGATCTGTTACTTGACCACCTCCATATATATGTCAAAAATTCAAAACAACTTTGCAAGTCATCTGAATGGACTGCCTTTGATGCATCATTTTTCAGAGAACGTTACATTGACATCTTGCAAGATGAAAACAAAAAAGGAACAAAATTGATAGCCTTGAATTTTGAGAAAGATGGAAAGGGTTTGACTTACAACAAGCACCAGGGATTTGTATTGGATATCAAAAACCTCAGACACCTCTTACTTGAATCTCTACAGAAAGAAGAATTCTCAGTTTCAAGGTATGTTTGTGAGATCCTTGATCTCATTGAAACTCATATTTTCACTGGAATCATAGATGAATCATTCAAACTAGAAGAGGATTTAATGAGGATAGAAGAAGAGTCAAATAGAATAGAAGCGGAGTTGAGTCACCTAAAAGGAAAATTACTTCAACTAAAAAGGACACAACAAAAGGAAGCTGTCCTTTTCTTCTTGAAAAGAATCCCATTCTTCCAGTGGAAAATAGAAGATACCAAGAACAAAATCAACTTCCAAATCAAAGATAATGAATTTCATATTCAAGAGAAGAAACATGAGATTGAAGATAAAAAGAGAGATTTCAAGAATTTGTTGAGCTTGATACTGGAAAGATCTCGGTGTTACTATTCAATCTATTCACAAAACGTTTCAAGGATCCAACAAGCAGGGAAAAACAAGAGCATTCTTGATCCAAGTCACTACAAAGCCCTTGAACACTCCATCACATCTCATGACACAACACAAAAACTAGAGCAAGGAGACCCAAGCTTAAATTTGATGAGAAATGATCTCAAGAAGAATGACGTTTTTTGGGGCTATCTAGGCTTGATCCAAGCTTATTCCAAAACATTAGAGACTGAATTCTCATTGTATTTACTATCAAGAGAATATCATCTTATTGCAAAAGATGAGGATGTTAGAATTTTCTTGGAATCAGTGAAATCTAAAAATTAGGATCCTCCAGCAGTATAGCAGTATTCCAATCAGATCCTGTTGGAATTTCATCACTTTTCTTTCCTCATTGGTCTCTCCATTCTTTTTCTCCAGATGAATATATACAGGTTGTCTTCTGTCCCACATCTTGTCCTTTCATTTGAGTCCTTGCTTCTAGACTGAAATAGAAAACCATTGGTTCTTCTGAAATGCAATCCTTGATGTCTCTAGAGCATACAGCCCCTGGTAGAGTGTGTGATTTTCTGCCACACAAGCTAAAGAACCTGAATCCTGATGTTTTCCAAACCAGAACATTAGGGAACAACTGTCTGAACTAACAGAGTGAGCAGACAAGCAAACCTGTGACAAATGAGGATGAATGAAGAGAGTGAGACACAGTAAATGAAAACGATAAAAATTGGATGATTTCATTTCTAACCTGATAGTTTTCAAACCAGAATGTTAGGGCATACTAGAGATCGTTCGTTCGGACCTGGGTACCTGTTTATACCTAGGTACCTGTTCATTTTTTCAAGAAAATAGATACCATGTACCGCACCAGACACCTCCCGGGGGGTACTCAAGGTACCCGTTGCAGGTACCTCAGGTACCCCCCCTCTCTTTTTCACCTAGTTTCACTCCCATAGTCTCAAGTCACTTTATTATTATTATTATTTTTTCATATTTATTGTAAAATATCACTCACAAGTCACTTTTTTGGTATTTTTTAATATCTGTTGTAATATATCTACATCTAATTGGAAGAATCTTACTTTTCTATTTTTTTCATATTTATTGTAAAACATCAGTCCCAGATCACTTTTTTCATTTGTTCATATTTAATAATTTATTGAAAAGTTGAAACTATCTACAACTTATAACTAATTGGAAGAATCTTCATTGTCATCCAAAACCATCACCTTCCTTTTTGATTCTTTGTTAGACTTCTTGTTATCCTTGAGTCCCTGTTTCCATGCAGCCAAGGTAACTTCTTGGATCTTGGAGTTCTTGGAGTAGAAGGCCACCATCATTTTGATTTTTGGTAGGGAAGTGAGGGGGTACCTGTAGAGGTACCTAGGTACCTGTTCAATTTTTCACAAAAATAGGTACCAAGTACCGCACCTGGCACCTCCTGGAGGGTGCGGGGCGGGTGTGAGGGGTACCCCCCAGGAGGTACCAGGTACCTGCAAAAAGTACGGACGAACGATCTCTAGGGCATACTCATAGCCTGGTGAACTAACAGAGTGAGCAGACAGGCAAACCTAGGAAATGAAAGACAAATGAGAAGGAGATCCAAAGGAACAAAATGCATGTGAAAGAAGAGAACAACAGGCCAGTGGGGAATGAGGATGAACAAAGAGAAGGGCAAGTGAGACACAGTAAATGAAAACTAGAAAAATCAGATGAGAAGAAGAGAAATACAAGATGAAAGGATGAGTTCTAATACATTACAAACAATCTAGGTTTCAAACCTTGTCCATCTCACTTCCCAGCATGTCCGCAGCACCACAG